AAAAAAAAAAAAAAAATGATAAAATTCCAGCAGACATTTTTAATGTAAATATATTCTAACGGATTCCAACATAAATTCCATCAAAAATATTCCGTTGGAATGAGTTTTTCATTGGAATTTTCGTTGGATTTTGACAATTCATGCGGTAGATTTTTAAAGAGGGGTGGAAATAAAAATTTCAATGAAAATTGCATACTCCAACGAGAAATTCCCATGGTAAAAATTTGTTGATAAAATAGTCGTTAGCATCATCAAATTTCATATAAAATTCCAACAGAAAACTCATTCCAACGATATATTTTCGTTCGAATGATTCCAACAAAAATTATACCATGGAAATATCTATTAAGCTTATAAATTTATTTTAAATTATATAGAAAAATAATTAGGTAAATAGAATTAATTCTATAATTGCAAGTGGTTATATCATTGTTTTTCAACCCGGACCGACCCGGCAGGTCGACTCGGGGCCTGGCCGACCTGGAGTTGGAACCGGTCCGGGTAGCTATTTGGACCGGGTAACAACCAACCCAGTCAAAGCCCGGCCAACCTGGCCTTGAACTGATCGTCCCGAATCATTGACCCGAGTTGACCCAGTCTATATATATTTTAATTTTTTAATATTTTTTATATAAAAATATAAAAAAAAAACTATGTAAATATATTGATATAGTAAATATTTATTGTGAGATCATAGATTTTAAACTCGGCCCGGAAATCGACCCAGTCAGGTCTCCGGTCACCGGGTCAATTGCTGAACTGGATAATTAATTTTAAAATTTTTAAAATTATATATATAGTATTTTTGACATATAAATATATATAAAAGTAACAAAAATAAATGTTTTGTATACAAAATTTGTACATTTAAGTGATAATAATATTGAATCTCACAATAAATATTTACTATGTCATTATATAAACATCATTTTTATTTTTTATATAAAAAAATCATAAAAAAAATAAAAAATTTATAAAGACCGAGTCAACTGGGTTGACCTGGTCGGGTTTTGACCGGGTTCATTATTACCCGGTCCAAATAGCCCACCCAGACCGGTTATGAATCCGGGTCTCGGGTCGACCCGCCGAGCCGATCCGAGTCACAAAACAATGGTTGCAGTGCTTTTAACACTATAATGTACAAATTTTTATATACACAATATTTATTTTTTTTACTTTTATGTATATTTATATGTCAAAATTACTATATATGTAATTTAAATTTTTTTAAATTAATTATTTGGTTCAACAATTGACCCGGTGACCCAAAAACCTACACAGATCGATTTTTGGGTCGGGTTAAAAAAGTATGGGCCATATTGAAATTTCGAAAGGTCAACTCTAAACTCGTTGAAGTGTGAATAAAAGAATTCATACCAATTTCAGAGTGGGCAAAGCGCTTTGGTTACTTTTAAATTTTGTTTTACGTGCATTTTTATGTTTTTCAGATTTCTTCAATTATTGTTTGATTTTTGTTAGAGCTTAGATGACAAACTCAATTTTTCAAAATTTTTATTTTAAAATGTACCCATCATATCATATTATATTAAAAAAATATATACATCATACTTTTATTTTTTAAGTAATGTTTGTACTAAAAATATGCATTATATTAAAAAAAAAAAAACACTGTCCATATCTTATATTTAATTTTTGATTATTTAGTTTCGTCCCATGACTTTTTAATGAAAATAAAATAAAATAAAATAAAAATCGTTATAACTAATTTGACTTCCTTGCTGAATTGTGCTCTATGATATATCCAAATCTACACCAGGCTACGAGCCTACAACTACACCACATAAGAAAATAATAATAATAATAATAATAATAAATTAATAATAATAATAATAATAAAATAATAATAAAAATTGTTTTGTTGACCTGAAATTATGTACCAAGTTGTAGAAAATTCGTCTCCCTAAATTTCGGTCTCAAACAACCAAAAACTTCGATCAAAACAAAAGATAAATTAAAAAGAGATGACACTGGACATTGAGTTTTTTTTTTATTATTTAATATTTTTGTATTCTTTTTAATCGAAACGGTCCGGACCGAAACAACCAGTTTATTGAACCAGCCCATGTATATGATCGGGCCGGTCCAGGGCCATCCAATTCCAACCCTTGGCCCCAGAGCCGGCGGTCCCGACCCATCTGCCCAAAACCAGGAACGGGCCATATCTAGCCACATCGGGATTAATCGAATAAAGCTGAAACTTTTTCCATTACAATTATTGGGAGATGCTACGGTCTTGTTACAGAATTTTCGTCGGAGTTTGTTACTATTAGATCATCATTAACCGTCGAGGATAGTTGATCTAACGGTTACAAACGTAATAATTCTGTAACGGGACCTTAACATTTTCTATAATGATTTCAATAATTTTATAAATGAAAAGGAGATAATCATTCCTTCGAACACGATTGATAAAACCGTTACAAGATCACATGAGGAAAAAAAAAAAAAATTACACAAAATGCACATCAAACAATCAAAAAGCAAAAACTTCCAATTAATCCAAAGCCACTTTCTTCTTCTCCTTCCCTTGTTTTACTCTCACCTTCTCATTCTTCACATTTCCTCTGTTCTGCTTGCTCACAGACCCCTCTTCAGCACTGCACATTTGAGACTTCAACCGAAGCCCCAATTTTTTCGACACGTTTTCCCACGTACTCGACACCTTCACTTTCCCGAGCTTCTCGATCTCTTGCCTCATGTTCGAACACTCCTTTTCGAGCTCAGATACCCGGAGTCTCATGTTATCCATACCCACTTTCAGAACCTGGTTTTCTCTTACGGCCGTGGCCCAATTGCCTTCGTTTGGGCCCATCAGCCCACTTCTGAGCTGTCTGGACCCGTCGAGATTGTCAGAGACCAAGAAGCATCCCGCGATTGAAGTCCTCAGCTGAAGCTGCTCGAAAAAGAGGACTTGGACTATGACTCTCAAAGGGAGCCTCTCGTTTTGGGCCGCGTGCGTGCAGGCCTCGAGGGAGAGCTTCTGGCAGTCCATTAGTCGGCAGAGCTGTTCTCTGTCGGGCTCAGCTAGCCATGGGTGAGACTGTAATAACAATAATAAGAGACCTCTAAATAACCAAAAGGAAAAAAAAAGGAACTTAACTTTTTTGAAAGTTGTTAAAGAACAGTGTTATTTGTAATACTTGAAAAGAGATAGTGGAAACATTTGATGAGAAGCTAGCAGATTTTGCAGAGTGAATTTGACAAGTTTTAGTTCTTTATTTCAAAAGTCCCACAAATCTCAAGGATAGAAGAAATTGTAACTACTCAATAACATAAAACCAAAGGTCAAAGAGCATTTGTAATTGTAATTATTTTGGAAGACACCACATTTTCCTCTCTTTATCTATCTTTGCAATCAAACTGAATCTCAAGGATGTTTCTCTAATATTGTGTTTGGTAAGCATATAAGCTAGCTTATAGCTTATTTGATTAGCTTATAAGCTTCCTGTATTCAAATAAGCTTGATTTGGTTGGACGAACTTAAAAAAAAAAAAAAGCTCGAGTTCTTAGGTAGCTTTTCAAATAAGCCCATTAAAATTTTTATTTTAGCTAGTTTATCAGCTAATTTTACTAAAAACTTTTATCATATAAGCTATCTTTTCCGCCATAAATCATAAGTTATCAGCTATAAGCTCAAAATTCACTTAAAAGCTATAAGCTAGCTTATTATAAGCTAGGTTTATCAAACATTACTTAAGTAACACTTTCACAAAAGTTCAATTCACCAATATTTTCAACTTATGAATGAAAAAATCGAGCCCTTGACAAAAATCTTACCTTCAGATAAATGTCGATTGCGCGGTAAAGACCGTCATCCAACGGTCTCGCGTACTCCGGGACAGCCGCCGCAAGCGACTGAAACTTGGGGAGTTTAAGGTTAACGTCCGGCGCCACCTCAGCCAGGTATCCATCGACCAATTTCGCCACCATCGTGATCGGGGTCAACGACGGCGAACCCATGAGTTGACCGTCGTCCACCGAGCCACCCGGAGACTCGTCCCCAACCTCTCGATCCATCCTCAAGAAATGCTCCAAAATACGCTGAAAGCAGTCCACATCGTACAGAGTCTCCATCGAATACGAAAAGCTCGGCATCAACAAATCCTCGAGGCTCGCCTGGTCGAGCTGCAGCCCTATCCTTTTCTCCAAGCTCGACACACAACCCGAGTCGGCCTTCAGAATCTTAGCCGTCCGAAGCAAGCCGAACAGCGTTTTTGTCGGGATGAGTCCCTTTTGCATCGGAAGAAGTTTATCGATCTCTTCTAGAAGCTCCCGTTGATCTTCTTCGGAGAGTGACACTTTTCCGCCGCCAGCCTGGCGGCGGGTGAGGCCCGGAAGATACTTCTTCGCGTAGAAATCGAGCGAGCCCGCGATTATCTCTTGCTTCACGCCACGAGCCTCCATTGCCGATATAAGCCGTTTGTAGAGTTGAAGGCTTAAAGTCGAAACATCCTCGTACCACCAGTCGGAAGTCGGGTTTTTGGGCCGGGCCCCAGTGCTGATTCCGTTCCAGAGCACGCTCCCGCCCGGGCTCTGCATGAGCCCGATTTGCTCCGTAACGGGCCAGCCGAAAAGGTTTGGGTCGGCACAGGCCCGAGCAGCTAGGGACTCAATGCACCGTTTTGGGATCTGCAGGCTTTCAGCATAGGGTAGGATATCCTCACACGTCTGTAGGGCCCGCAAAGAGTCCTTCCATCCACGTAACACGACTTGGTTGATGAAAGTCTCAGTTTGGGAGATTAAGTTGCCTTCGCCATATTCCTCGGTCATTTCGAGATGCTCGGCCGCGCATCGAAGGTGGGCCACATTTGAGGCGGTCAGCTCGAGTTTGACGCCATAGCAGAATTTTGCGATGAGCTCGAAAGTCTTGGGCCCGCCCGGGATGTCGGGTAGGCTGATTACACAGCCGTGCTCGGTTTCGGCGGGGGACTCGGCTATGAGTTTCTCCATAACCCCACTTCTCGAAAGCAATGGGAACTGCAAATATTGGATTAATATAGGGCTTGAATGATAAATGTAAGACATTTAGAGTGAATTATCACACAAACGAGTGAGGATGAGAACTGTGGACAGTACCTTGTGAAGATGGAAGGACATTTCACCAACTTCAACGACTACATCGCTAGGTAAACCAGTCGTGCAAAACCTATTTATAGTTAGAAGATGTAAAAGCAGGTCAAATGAAGTGAGGTGTCATTTGGAAGCAGAGCTGAAGCAATATATAGCAAGCAGGGGATACAACATATTTGTTCCAAGATAAACAAAAGTCATGTGGGTATTTGTAATTTCGAAAGATAATTCGGGTTTTTCTGAAAATTAGGTCGAACCTCAGAAATTTTGTTTTTTCCTTAATTCTTCTCATCTACAAGACTACAAGTTAGCATTGAGAATCATGGAACATGTGCAATAATCAATGAAAACTAGTACATATCTTGGTCTTGTCGAGCTAAACTAAAAGATCACAAAGATTAAACAGAACATTAACAACCATAAACCAAGGGATTGTAGATTCAGATGTTTTTTATGCATTCACATACAATGTAGATCTCTGTGATTAAGAGAGAGAGAAAGAGAGAGAGAGAGAGAGAGAGAGAGAGAACAAACCAGGCCTGCCCTTGCCTCTGGAATGCATCAGATTTGGATCCCAATTTTACACAAGCCATCCCTTCAACAACACGCAAGCCAAGCAAAGAACAATATTCTCTACAAAAGTTCTTTCAAGAATTTCGTCAAACACGACGAGTGCACATAAAAATTCCAAATCCCACACTCTCACAAACTTCAAATCCAAAGTTTCTGAAACAAAAAAAAAACCCCAACCCAAAATAACTCAAATCCAGCTTCAGTTGATTCACATGCACTCCAACTCAAAGCAGCAAAATTTACACACAATATCGCTCAAATTTAATTTAAAATAAAATAAAAGAAAAGGGAAAAAATCAGATAAAATTGCAAAAAAATACTACTCAGGAGTCAGGTCTCAACATAATACTTATCTTTTTCCCCCTCATCAAGACTGCATTTAATACCACAAAAAAACTCTCAACGAAACCCCCAAACCAAATCAATTTGCCCCACTTTGCTTCTCTTTTTTTTTTTTTTCAATTTTCTTTCAAACCCCTAAAGTTTAAACCACCCCCAAACAGGTCCTAACCCAAAATGACAACAGAACCAAAATCTCAGTCGCAGAGCAAAACAAACGCCTCCGAGGAAAAAATACTATATTAAAATCTTCGAACCAGACAAATAATTTAGGTCAACCCCTCCAAAATATAAAAAACCAAAACCCAGTTGTTTCTGACAAAAACTACAACTTTTTTTTTTTTCCTAAAACAACCACAAGATTCCAAGACTCAGACCTTTGTGCGACTATAAGACGAAAACCCATCAATCCCCATTAAAAATCTTGAGCAAATTCAAGTGAAAACATGAACAAAATTCAGAGCTTTTATCCAAAGTTTGAAACTTTGGAAAAGGTGAATGTGGGTTAATTTAGTGGCAGCTCTGAATGAATGAGATAAAATAAAATGTCACTATTTAATTGCATGTGGGTCCTTTTGCTTCAAACATACTCAATTACTCATTGCATCGAGATTCCTAATTTCTTAAAAGCTTAAACCATTTATTAATTTTGTGTCTACTAAAAATTATTACATTCTATTTTTTAAATAGATGTCGTTTTGAGAAGTTGCATAGTACTCCCTCCTTTTTTTAAATCAAAACGACATTTATTTAAAAAAGGAGGTAGTATTAATTAAAAATATTATTTTTATCCATAATAATCTTATTTAATGAAAATAAAAATGAATGTTTTGAGAAAAAGTGAAGAGTGAATATGAAAAAAACGTAATGTATTTATTAGCTAAATAAAGGTAATAATTGAAAAATATGTATAAAAGATCCAAAACGACATTTATTTAGCAAATAGTTGATAAAAATAGAATGTCATTTAAAAAAAAAATAAGAGGGAGTATTTATTTTCTCTTTGATCTTTAATTTTAATTCCTAACCTAGCAAGTATACTATAATAACATTGAGGATTATTTTTCTTATATTATAGAAGTTTTTCTATATTTGTTGTAATATCTTGAGAGTAACAGTTATCTGTACAGTCCCAGCTGGACCATGTGGTATACATAATACATCATACATCATGCATTTGCTTCCTTCAACTAATTATTTCATTAATTATTTCTTTAGTCATTTCTTTATTAAAGAATATGTTACTATATAACTAGATAGTTTTCTAATTGAAATAATATTAAAATTTTCGCTTACAATTATTAAAGTTACTATTTTCAATATTTTTTTTAAAATGGCGACTGAATGAAAATTAGAAAAATTTCAAAAAAAAATAAAAATAAAAATTTGTTTGAGACGTTATTGTATAAATACAAATATGGACAATGATTTCCCCAGAAAAAAGAAGCGAAAATCGATTCCAACCGAGGTGTAATTAATTGGAGATTTCAGAGGTAATATCAGGTTTCTTTTGAGTTAATTAGGTTAGTAATAAGTTGGTTTAATTGGATATCAAGTCGAGTTCATGTTGGGGTCTTGAACCGTGCGGCCTTGTGCGTAGCCGTGCGTGTGGGTGTGGCTGGGAGTAGTTGTATCGAATTTTCATATTATTTCAGTAATCCCCTGATATATAGGTCCTATTCAGTTGTGGTTTGATTAAGTGTTCAGTTAATCGGGTTGTTAGACATATGGTATCAGAGCCAGTACTCGGACCGGTGTGCCAGCGGGACGCTGGGCCCTCCAAGGGGGGTGGAGTCTAGTAAAAGATGTCCCACATCGGTTGTTGAGGAGAACGAAGCATGCCATATAAATGGCTGTGGACACCTCAACCTACAGGACGCGTTTTGGTGAGCTAGCTCCCAAAGGCAAAACCGTGAGGGAATGATCTGGTGTATACCCAAAGCGGACAATATTCTGTAGCGGGTGAGCTGGGCTGTTACATATGGTATCATCTAGCCAATAGTGAGAAATAATCTTGAAAATCTTGTTTCCAAAAAAATTATATTTTATTGTCGCAACTAAATATTCATATTTATTTAATAAAGAATGTTCATTTCATAAATTAATTTTTATATTTTGGATTGTTCAACTTACTTGATGATTTTTTTTTGTCCATATTTATCTAACTACAAAATTTTTAATGTTTAGAAAGAATAACATATGATGTGGATTCTTGGTACCTATTTTTTTGTACACGTCTATTTTACATCTCATATCTATATTACAAATTTTGATGTGAATCTTAACTATATCATATTATTACTATATATATATATATAAAGTTTTAAAAAGGTATTAAGTAACAAGTTCGTCTTCCGTGCGCTGCACGGGATGCACACTAGTTTGTAGCATGGAATTTACTTGACAAATTATTGTGAGACGCAAGCTCTTAGTCGGGTCAATTTATTGTAAATTTTTTAATAAAATACATATTTATATATAAAATGTCATGCTTTTGTTTATATTGTTGCAGAATATTTAATTTGAATTTTGTAATTTACAAATATACATATTTATTAAATTACGTTGCATTTATAAACCGGTATAATAACCGTCTTAATGAGGTTAATTAATGTTAGATAAATTCGAGAGAATATTATGCATATCTTACATATCTTTTTTCCTTATAATTAACAATCTATTTTCATTATTTTATTTACATGTGGCTGACTATATTGTTAATTAACTCTGTTAGAAAATATAATAAAAAGGAGCTATGTAATTTTGTGCATTATGCAGTCTTTTGACCTTTTTCAAGTAAGAATTAAATAAACAAATTATCATGAAGAAAAGGAGAATAAGAAGTTTTATTCAAGTCAAGAATAAATAATGTAGTCAAAAATAGTGAAATACTAGTATAGAGATGGCCAGTCAACGTGTCGGGCTGGCTGGGCTTTCCATAGGTGACCCCTAATCGGCCCGCCAAAAATAAGGGCCGGGCCCGTGAACTGGCTCTGTACCAGACCGGTCCCGGCCCCGACCCCGGTCCCGAACGGATCCGACCTGGTATCAACACGGTCCCGGTGAAAAAACCAGACCCAAAAATGAGCCGTAAAACCACGGTGACGGTTCGCATAACCGGCAACCTACTGGCCAATTGCGGGCCTGGTCGGGGCCGAGCCAGGATCGGGACTACGAGCCGGGCCGTGGCCATGTCTACACTAGTCTACCATTTTACTAGAAAGAAAGAAAAAAAGAAAAGCAATCATAAAATAAAACAAGTCACTAGTCAAACCTCTTAACATACTTCGGTCAATGCATTTCTCTTAATTTGGAAAATTAATATGCATATATTGGTACGTTTATATATTTTTCCTTCTAAAGTGTGTCAATATTAGAATCATATGATATTTATTTTTATTTATATATATATGATGGTATTGAATTAATTACATTTTAACAATTTGATAATTATTATCGAAATGTGTTCATTATATATCGAATTAGTCATATTTTAACGATTTGACATTCATATTATATATGTAAAATAAGAGAATATATACAACTATATCTATATTTATAACTAATATTAAAAATATTTTTGAATAATGGTTTAAATTATTATGAAAAAAATATATTTTTTAATCTATCAGTATGTAATGTGATATGAGGACAAAGATTTTTGAATAAATATGATTTATCCTTGATAACACATACACAACAAAATGTGATGAAATAAAACAAATTAGTACAACACCCGTGTATTACACGAGTGCTTGTTAAAAAATTATTCTTAAATTTTGAAATTAATGAGAAAATAATATTAAATTTAGTTTATTTTTTTACAAAAAATATATTACTATATATTTTAGAATGATATGTGTTACTTATGACTTACATGTGTTATATTATATTAGTTTTTATAATTTATATCATATAATTATTTGAAATATAAATATATTAGTTGGTAAATAATTTTATTTTCTAAATAATATTAAAATTAATTTTATTATTGTTATAAAGATAAATATAAATTATTTTTTTTATACATACAATATGGATGTTAAATTGAAACTCGTCAAAAGAAGATTAATTTGATATATTACATACATAAAACTGATAAAAAATACAAAAGTTATTAACTTTTAAAACATATATACAATTCAATAGTTATAATAAGGAATGATATTAAAATGCAATTAATATATGTAACATGACCATAAATAATCATCATATTTATGGTAATCCGAACCTAATTATTTTTGGTTTGGAATTAAATTAAAATTTACCCAAACCTAATAACGAAACATGTAATTTTGCTACATAAGATTCCGAAATACTAGAACCAGGCATGTAGGCTCAGCGCATTCTGAATTAATATATAGGGGAAGGATACACAATAAAATGAAATGAAATAAAACAAAAATTAACATAATTTGAATTAATTAGCTCCGAATTATTGCACCAATTATAAGCATGGTCTGGAGCGTGCCCAGTAGATAATATAGTGAGTATTTAATATGGGCCGCTGTCTTTCAAATTATTACTCCTCAACTATAAACCTCGAAAATTGGGGCGCCATTGATGGGAAGCCCGTCACGAGCGGCGACCGGCCGGCACACGCAATCATGGGCTTTGACTCGCCTTCCAAGTCCAATATCCGACCCGGCCAATGTGATATAACCGGCTACTCATTTTGGCC